GGAGATTCAGTTACAGAGGCATTTACAATTGCAAGTAATCGATACAAATTGCATTGCTTGAACTTTGTTCCCGAGACAAACCTAATAAGAAATTGAAGTTGAGCTCGGTGCACATTATTGCTCTTCATGGTGCGAGAGATTGCAGTGGCGTGTGGTGCGCATCACTGCTCTTTATAATGCAAGAAATTGAAGTAGCGTGTGGTGCGCATCACTGCTCTTTATAATGCAGAAATTGAAGTAGCGTGTGGTGCGCATCACTGCTCTTTATAATGCAAGAAATTGAAGTAGCGTGTGGTGCGCATCACTGCTCTTCATAGCGTAAGAGATTGAAGTAGCGTGTGGTGCGCATCACTGCTCTTCATAGCGTAAGAGATTGAAGTGGCACGCCGTTCACATCACTGCTATTCCCAGTTAAATGTTTAAGCTCATGCCTATAAGGATGCACACGAGGCAATACACTGAACTAAGTAAACCTCAATATCATTCAAATAAATTCGGCTGTTATCACTTGCACGATCGTTCGATGGAGCCAATTCAAAATAAAAAATTATCCTAATTTTTTATTTTAATAATGCGCCAGGTTTTCCTTGACCGCTAATGCATTTCCGCCCAGATGCATTGCACATGCTCTAGCATGTGTAGAGTTAAGGTACATAACTTTCTATGGAACCATAATAGAGCGAATAATAGCTGATATGCGATGTATCTGACATCGTTGTCAGTATGCCTTTTATACTCGTCGTACGCAGACTGCTGAACCTCGTTCACGCTTGTCAGTATACGTTCTGTGTTACACTGTGTTTCACTGCCAGCGGTGCGCTGTCCGGTTACCTGTACACAGCACCAGCGTTGTACTCGAATAAGATTGAGTTCAGAATGCTTCCACAATAATTCTGTCCTCATTTCTCTATCTACTACGCAGGTATCGTGCAAGAAGTAAACAGACTGTATATTGCTCAAAATAAGGGTTATATCGACAATTTTTATTCAAGTCAAAACTTCTTAAATATTTATAATAAGGGGCTTCTAAGAACTCTCCAAAGAGCCTGAGTGATCGTATAGGTTGAAGGGTTACTGATGAAGCGTACATATAACACTTTATTTCACAACCATCTTAAAACATTAAAGCTGAATAATACACTAGCTGCGGACTTTAATAGAAGTAAACACTGGTGCAAGTAAACCATTTGATTTGCTTATTACTTCTTATTTCGTGCTAATCTAGGCTTGAAATTAACTCATGAAACTTAAGATTGAAACTTTAATTTGAGGTTTTCCGAAGAAAAGAATCAAAATAGATAAATTTCACGATATTCCTTTATATATATTGACATGAAATGTTAATTATTACTATTTGCTCGAACGTGGTCGTGGCATTCCACGGCAGATATTGATCGTCATACATTAGCCTCTCGCACATACCCATAGCTAGCACACCCAGCAGGCACTGGCAGGTTGAATCAACGTTGAAAAAACAAAACTCGCGACGTTGAGGTAACGTTGAATATTAGTTTAGAATCAAAATTGATGCAACGTCATTTTTTCAACGTCTCATTTCGACATTGTTTCAACGTTCAAATCGCGTTAATATCTGTTGGTAAGAATGCGAATATATATATATTTATGCGATTTTAAAGTCAGAATTTTACGCGATTTCAACGTTGAAACAACGTCGAAATGTAAGACGTTGAAAAAATGACGGTGCTCCTACTTTCATTTCAACGATATTTCAACGTCGTGAGCTTTGTTGTTTTAACGTTGATTCAACCTGACATTGCCTGCATCCTTTCTAAACTAAAATGAACATGTTGAATATCTAAAAATCTTATACAAAATTCTCCAGCAAATATTGCTGCTGCAGCGACACATGTGTGATTAACAATTTCCATCAATTACAACATGAAAAATAACTTATTACATAATCCAGTACCGACAGTACTCTACATGCCATGTAACGCAAATCAAAAAGCGTACAGTCCCTTTAAAAAAGCAATTGCAATAAAGTGAACCGTATAACTTGCTCTGTGAGTTGCTCTGCGAGAGTCTTTACTTATAAAAAATTCCAAAATGATGCAAACAAAATTTGGCAGGCTTAGAGGCAGTGTCGCTCTCTTCGACGGCGAGTGTCAAGATCGGTGAGAGGATATTGAGGTGGTGCGTTGGGAAGAACATCTGCTAGGAGATGTTTGGACAGCTGATGTCGATCCACTTGTTTTCGTCATGAGCTTTGCTATGGCTGCAAAATCCGACAATAAGTGTACGAAAGTTTCTGCGATACATGGAAACTTTTTCTTCATTTTTGGGAAACATTTCTAAGTGACTTTAATATGGGTTCCAACTAGGGTACTTATAATGTACATTAAAAGACAATAAAGCAATTTCTTTTCAATGTTTACGTTCCATCTTTCATAGAAGCAAATGCAACGAAAATTTTGTCTTTCATCGATCTACTCTTGTATTTTCGAATATCTCTGTTCTTAAAAACTATAAAAGAGTTGAATTGAAGAGGACAGAAGCAAAAATACTCACGTTTAACCAAAATAACTTTAAACCTAAATTTTGTTCATTTCAAAGATAACTTCGACCCAGAATGTGAATGAACTCGTACTTCTACTCATCAATGAAACTTTAAAGGTACCGACAAGCCAGTGATTAATTAAGTTCAACAACTATTTCTCCCACCTGCATATTCGTTAACGTTTTTGAACTTGTAAATGAAGTTTTCTAATTCATTTATTAAGTGTAGACCCTGATTTAATATTTACTCGCTTACGAGAGAAGATTTGATGGCAAGAAGATTAGACATATTGAAGAAAAACACTCGCTGTTTCATTGAACCAATTCATCAATACTATACCAAGTGACAGGTGCAATTTAAGAACATAGAAAAATCACGACAGATTTTCATTTTTAAATTGATTCAAGCTGCCGTAAAATACCCAAGACTGCAACCAACGAGTAAACTTGTGGTCGGATGCTAAATAAGTTCGTAAATATACGTTTATTGTGGCAGGGCGATACTAGTGTGGGTGGTCAAATGTCTTCTCAGTTTACAAGAAATATTTTAGTTGAACATAGCTACGATCTAGCTAAACTCTTCTTAATATCTGCTGCGGGCAACAGGATCATTTCACTATCCCGGACTCATGAGTTCAATACGCTCAGGAGATATCGGAACAAACTGACTCATGAGTTCACTGCGCTCAGAAGATGTCAGTACAAACTGACTCATGAGTTCACTACGCTTAGAAGATATCGGTACAGACTGACTCATGAGTTCATTAGGTTCAGAAGATATCGGTACAAACTGACTCATGAGTTCACTACGCTTAGAAGATATCGGTACAAACTGACTCATGAGTTCAATACGCTCAGAAGATATCGGTACAAACTGACTCATGAGTTCAATACGCTCAGAAGATATCGGTACAAACTGACTCATGAGTTCAAAACGCTCAGAAGATATCGGTACAAACTGACTCATGAGTTCACTACGCTCAGTAGATATCGGTACAAACTGACTCAGATGTTCTTCCGTCTCGCAAATCTCAGAAGGTCCGGCGATGGACGGCTGGCTCCTCAGCTGTTCGATCGCCTCCATCGTGTCTTAGATTTATGTGCTCACTTCCTGTGAGGAATTCCCTTCATGAATATCTCATGCGTGCCAGTATCTGAAGTTTGCTATTAACGACGCAAGTGAGCTCACAGCAGCGCTTCGTAGCTGCGCTAAGTGTACATGCACCAACGAACCTTAAAGTTTTGATATTGCAGCTAGCTATTCAATTCCCGTAAAATTTACAGTGTGAATAAACTGACTGATTAAAAACAATGAATGAATTCTTTGGGTTTTAGTTCAAAATGTAGAATTAGTATTACAACGAAGTTTTCTTTACGTCTGTAAGTTATTTCAGCGGAAATTAATTCAACGTTACTCTGAACAAAATTAATCCATAATAATCAATAAACTCATTTAAAGGGCATAACATAAAAACCTTGGCATAGATCGAAAACCATGAATTAATTGAAATATCTCGACTGATTATTTAAAACCTAAATTACTTGCTAATTAATAATGTATAGTTATTCCCACCTATTAACTAAAACTGCTGGCGAAATTTACAAGTTCATAAGGAGGAGTTCTGTTCGGTGGTTAAAACTGTCAGTAGAGTTATGTGAGATTGTCGAGTGCAAAATCATTTCAAACCTTAACTAACTCAAACTCTTTGTCAGCGATATTAAAAATATGAAGTTTGACTCTAATAACAAAATATTAAGAACCAACCGCTGGATGAGCGATCTACGTCGACTCAAACTTAACCAAAATATTTTTTTTCTGCATCTAAATCTGGAATGAATGACGCGACAATGTTTTTTATTCATGTTAAAAGTCGCATGCTGTTCACAGTCAGACTGAATTTAAGAGATTTGTGTACCGCAACCCTATATTCTGGGTCCTGCCAGTAAGAAACTTATAAAAAAATCTGCCAAGCAACATCCGCCCCAGCGTCACCATCTTTCCAGCGTGCCAAGATTCCATTACATTTCTCGTCAAACGTTCGAGAAACGCACTCCCTTGAGAGGAGAACTTCCCGTGCCAATAAAGACGAACAAGTTTCCTTGGAAAAAAAGTTGCGTTTCTAGCCTGTGAAATATGGACCACATTCTGAGAAAATTGGCTCATTAATGCCCGACAGATGCCGCTTCTCCCAATTAGACGCTTGTGTGTCCCAAGAGTCTCAAGGAGACCGTGAAGTCAGACAAATGTCCAGTTTATCTACAAGAAGAACGGCAGAGATCTGGCCACGAATTGCCTCTTTACGGATCTTGCTTTAATAAGAAATTTTTGTTTCGAATCTCGAAATGAGATGATAATTGATTTCAGAGTTTATTAATTTATGCGTTTTTCAAAATTTATTCTGTGCTGGGGAAATTTTGTGGGAATTATATAGACTTGGAATTTAGTGTTCACCAATATGCTGGCTTATTGATACTTCAACTCCATGGTATTTTATCTCTATTATTTCGTTGGGACCAAGTCATCCCAGTACATCAAGTCATCCCAGTGCATCAAGTCATCCCAGTGCATCAAGTCATCCCAGTGCATCAAGTCATCCCAGTGCACCAAGTCATCCCAGTGCATCAAGTCATCCCAGTGCATCAAGTCATCTCAGTGCACCAAGTCATCCCAGTGCACCAAGTCATACCAGTGCACCAAGTCATCCCAGTGCACCGAGTCATCCATCCAAGTATTACTACTCTTTCTAGCAAAAGACATGCTTTTCGTATCTCAGTCAATAGCCCTCGACGAATGCTTTGTTCTCGGCGTGAAAACTTCAATTCCGATAATAAACTCGTAGAGTGAGTTTCGAATGTACAAAGTCGTATTTTAAGCCTGGCTATGAAAATCAGTTACGAACACATCTCAAACAACTCATAATGTTCGCTTGACTTCACTATTAATCTCAAATCCGTCGTTCGCTTCATATGTGAAAATCAATCTTACTTGCATTCATATTTATGTACATGTATGATGTGATGGTGCAAATATCGTTAACTGACATGGTTGATGCGCATAGATATTATACGTTATTGATACGTTAAAATTCCATCCACCAATTCTGAAAATAGAATGAATACATCGTCTTGATCTTTCGCAGTGGCGGATGTAGTACTGCAAAATCTGGAAATAATGTGAATTGTGTGTCGGAACGTGAAAGAATCCTAATTTTCATTTGGATTCGTATATGCCATTTTCTGGTAATATCGCACATAGCAGATGAAAATTTTGGACCAAAAATTTAATTTATTTTCCAAGTCTCGATTTTTCTAATTTATCACGAGTAAAATTATTGAACACTGGGAAAAATCTCATTATAAAACTCATTGGAATGATGTGCAATGTCTTGCGTGATGTGAAATTAGAATATCAATCATATAAATGCACATTTATTACCATATCAGTAATAATAGAATTAGAGGGTTTCAAACACGAAACTTATCTCATTTTGTCCCCTGTCTCAATAGGTGCTGGTAACATGGCAAAAGTGAAGCTGTTGCTGCTGCTGCTGCAGCTGATGAAGATGTCATTGTCTGGTGAGTGAATGATTTCATTTTCCGTTTTATTCTAGATATTATTTTGATATAATATTATAAATATAAAATTATTCCATTCAGATATTGTGCTAAGACTTCGAAAAACTTGATGGCAAAATAAAAAGCACATTTCAGAGACCTAATATTTGTGTGCAACTCAAGAAGAAGGTCAAATGAAAAATAAAAATCTTATCATGAGAGAGGGCTTCAAACTTTTTCAAAACTTGAGCACTATCTTCAATAAAAGACTTCAGCTGCTCACTCTTCAATTTATTATGAGTCAAAACGAAATCTCGTTTGAATCGAAACGTTTTTCCAGACAATATCTCTCGCCTCCAGGGCTCCGTCCTCAGTTAAGGAAAACTGCTGCTGCTGTAGCAGATATTGTAGCGAGGTTCTGAAGCTGCACACGAGTATATTTTTCACCGTCATGTTTAGAATAAAACATGGTTGTTTCAATAGTGAACAAATTATATACGATATTGTCCAGGCTTATATTGTGAACATTTAAAACCGGAAAAAGCAATAGTAATGGAGAACAAAACTTTTATACACTGATAACTCGTGCATTTTTGGGCATGAATCTAAATTACCTAGCGATTTTTGACACGAAATGGTTTACCGAACATCGTGCGAAACATAAATTATGCCATTTAAGAACTAATTCTGAACAATTCGGAAACATATGCAATATGTCATGATAACGCTTAGTATTCAAAAACATATTTACTGCTAGGAACAAAAATGTGTTAAATATATAAGAAAGACCACTAAATTGACACGCACAGACTAATTTCAACAGATAATACTTACTTAAGTACCCTCGTATTTTTATGGCGTAATTAACCGCTCATCACATCTGGTAAATGATGAAGGACAAAACCCATTACAATTAAATATGACTCGAAACTAGATTAGATAAGCACTTATAGGGGACTAAATATTTTGCAGATCTACTTTTACTTTACTTTTTTTAGGGCTTACTTTACATGTACAGTTTTTCTTATTATTTCGAATTCCATATCAAAGGGAATTTATTCAAGAGAAAAGTGAAAACCATATAAAATTGGATAAAATTAGTGCATAATTTAAATATTTCCAACACTGAAAATACAAAAATTTTAGAATTTAACTTCATTGAAAACTAACCTTCAAGGGTTCCTCTGCATATCAAAAGGGGCTCGCGTATAAAATGAAAGGCTCTCTTAATTTGGACGAGAATAGAAGTTTCTTATAGTAAAAATTAAATTCATTTATAAATACTGTTAAAAGAGCACTAGCCATCTAAACATAAAAGGTTCCTTCGCTAATACAATATAAACGTTTTGGCAGAAGCACCTTCAGCAAGCTTTTGTAATGTTTTCAGTCAAATCTGCCGTTACAGAACATTATAGTTCGAACTCCATTTAAGACGTTCAGTTCCATCCTCACTGATATTTCACGGTGTTTTGGGTGCATGGCGGCGTCCTCGTGTGTTAACGTCCTTGGAGGGTAATCCACCTGGCACCAGCGTCATCAATCATTGTATTGCTACCTCTCTGGTACGACGGATCTTCCATCATTTTATTTGGATTATTGGGCGTTGAGAAGAAAAACTGCTGGCGAAACCTCAAGCCGCGGTTTTCATGCTCCATCAATATAACAATTTTCAGCATACTATTTATTCAGCGGTTAGATATTTATATCTTCTAGCGGCTCTTAGCATTTCTGCGTAGCTTCTTAGTCGGTATAAGCTTAATTACCGCTTGTAGATGTGATTAAGAATTGTTTGACCAATAATTTCGAATTTCAAATTTCTCGGTCGTGGATCATCATATCTTGCATTGATTCGCGTAATGTTTAATTACACCCATTCATATCACAGACTCAAATATAAAACTTTAACCTGTTGATCATCTGTAACGGTTGCTATTGTTGGCTGGTGTGAGTGTGGCATACGCCAAAGATCAAATTCTTTTTTATCCTCAAGTCTGAGTTAAGTCATTATTTTCAGCGCAACTTGATGACATTGTTAGTGCTATATTCATAGCTTGCACAAATAAGATGTCTACGGAAGCTGACCCACGAGGTAACAAAGAATTTCATGGGATTTACAAAAAAAAACGCAGAATGGTTTACAATATAGTAAAAAAAACTTGTGCGCATATTGATCATAACATTCGCAAATTTACAAAAGCCGTAATGACTCTAAACCAATTAGCTTAGAATTGGAAAATAAATGAATAAGTAATGTCAAAGGAATTATTTATCTCATTCTGATTTGACTAGTCTATTCACAGAACTGACAAATTCCTTCATCGAATAACGATGATGGTAACAAAAAATATCAAACCATTGAGCAGCTATAGTGACAATCCAGGAAAATATTTGATCAGATATGAGTGAGAGTATACTTTTTAAAGAAAGCTGCAGTTGAAAGTTTTCGTTGCTTCCTCAGTACCGTGAAAAAAATAAATACGGGTACTTCTAGATTAAAAGCAAAAATTATTTTGCATGCCTCATCTGCGACTCTTGAACGAAGAGCATGTAAACAAAAGCGAGATGATATCGAGACATCTTCGGTCCCAGCCCCGGCCGTTGGTTCTTCCGCCGCGTACTCGCGCCGAAAAAGTGACGATCACTCCTTTGATCAGCACTAATTAAGGGTATGCAAGCCCCTAAATGTTGGACTTGACCTATCAACATATTCAGGTGCTTGACATTTCAGTAAATATTAAAAAAATTATTCTTGCACAAATGACAGCGAAACCAAACACTACCATCTGCCGATAAGCGGAGCATAAATTTGGTTGAAATTTCGCTTCCTGTCTCAAGCATTAAATCCAAGTCAGGATCATCAGGCAACTTAGGATGGCAATAATTACTTTTGAGAGCGCGAGTTCTAGCGGCGTTCACATCAAATGAGTCCAGAGAGCAACGAAATTGACTACCATCTGGAACCTCAATTTAGTTGCATGGCCGCCGCTTCAGATTTATGGCTCGTACTAGCCGAACACTGGCGAGCAATGATCGTGTCTTGGTGCATGAGGGACAGACAAGCTGGCGATCTCTGATCACTTACCAGTATATACTGGTTTAGTTTTCAAAGGAAACGCTTAGAATTTGATGTGTACTTAATCAAAACTTAATTTTTTCAGCGTTTAAAACTCGTGTGACTCTAAATTTTTCGATATATCAAATGATTCTTGCAGCTTAATTTTAACAGTAGCATTATTATCTGGAAAATTTATGAAAGAATTCGCATGAGACTCCAATAAATGTATAAATAAATAAATACTCCATTAGCGTGGGGTAGGTTGCTGTCATTTGGGTGGATCGCGCTGCGGCAGCCGGAGAGCAGCGGTTCGTCTCACTCACTGACCACAGTAGTCAAGAGGCAGATTCGAGCATTTATTGAATCTGACCATCTGGTGGCTCCGGAAGAGAGAGTGAGGCGGGAGTCGGGAGACGGAGATCAAGAGCTCGGAAGGCGAGTGGCCAGCAGGCTGGCCGATGGTGACATAAGGGGGGCTGTGCGTATGCTGGCATCATCGGATGATATTGCCCCGAGGGACGATAGAACCCGAGAAGTGCTCCAGCAGAAGCATCCTCCGGCACCTGAGGACCTATCTCTCCCTGAACCTGCGGGAGAGGACTACCCACCTCCTTCTATTGTAGGGGAAGGGGATGTGAGGAAAGCCATTGCTTCCTTCAAGCCGGGTTCAGCGGGTGGTCCGGACGGGCTCCGCCCGGGTCATCTGGTGGCCCTGANTCCGGTGAACGCAGAGAGACTTTATGGTTGGAGCAAAGGTTGGGTTTGGCAGTGCAAAGAGGCAATGCAGCCAGCATCCTAACAGCAGTTAGAGAAAAGTTCGACGTGGGCCCGCTCCTCACTCGCGTCACAGCTCAGTGACTCTCGGAGTCGGTGTAGGCCACCATCAGAGGCGTTAAGGTCGGGGCCCTGATCATTGACATGAAACCTTTCCCTGTTTTTAATTAATAAAATTAATTCCTTTTTGTTGGAATGGTGAGTGTGGGAGGCCTTATTTAAAATAATAAAAAAAATATATATATATAAATGTCAACAAGATGCGAACGTTCAATATAGCAGAATATTAAATGCTCCCAGAAATACGTTGACTTCAAAACGTTTAAACAATTCAGGATGCAAGCAAAGTTCTTTGCCATTTTAATGACAGGTGAAGATAATCAAATAAAGCAGATTAACGACTTGCTATCGTTGTTGGAATCGTTCCAAAGTCAGCGTATTATTTCCTACGAGCTAGTGAAATTGAAGTTCAGTTCAGATGCGTCTAATGATGCGCCGCTGCGGAGGCTACGAACAAATGGATGAAGCACTTCATAAAATGATCGAAATTTGTCCATGTTATGCTGGGAAGGACTTAGGGGACCACTCTAGCAGATGAGGAAGAGTGTGCAGACTGTTGCCGTTTTGGCTAAGCTAAACCAAATGGGGTCATTGGAAAGTTTTTAATTTAATCAGCAACAACTGCTAAGCGAAATAATTATTCATGGACTTTATTTGGAGTATGTTACACATGTAAGTTAATCTCATCCATCGCGGTGCAGTTTAGATGAGTTTGAAGTATTCTAGAATCTAGACAATTTACATCACATTGCAGCTGCAATGTTAATAGATTTTTCTACATTGCGCTTAGAAATTCGCGTCGCTTGATGGGTATTAGAAATAGGTATTCTTTCTCGGCACAATAACATGGATTTATGTATTATATTTGAACATTGCACTACTTGAAGCTTATTTATCAATTCAGATAAATTAACCAGCGATTCATCAATCATTCAGAAACTTTTTACAGCACGGGACATCATAACTTTCAATGACAATAAACTCGTTCAATTAATATATTCTTTTGGTTGCTGCTTCAGAAAATCTTTATTGGTGCAAAAGTTACACATATGTATATTTTGCAAGTGTTACTCGATACCTTAGGAATAACAATTTTCCCTCTGAAGATCAGAAGCTTGGGCAATCAAGAGCATACAATGAAAATCATTCAATGATGAAGCTATGATAATAGTATTATATTTTTATAAACAAATTCAATTTGCAGTTGGTATTGCCAGTTTTACTGAAGTGTGCGAGTCACCAGAGCTGAGCATGGATAGTTGGGTTGGGATAAAGCCGAACATGAAGGGCCACTCTCACTAATTGGTCCCCCAGTTCACTGCTACCAAGCATGTGAAGGACGCCCACTGTAACGACGCATAATTCTCTGCCAGGGCAAGTGTTCGGCAAGCACTAACGATGTTTGCCGATATTTAATGATACAATATAGATAATGATGCAGTCAATACTTTAGTTCCTGAGTTTTAAGAGGGTAATCGGATGCATCATTAGTTGCGTGAAATTTTTCCATTTAATAACAGAGGCAAAGAACTTTTACAGTTTCAACGGTCAATGATCCACCTTTGGATTTGAGTTCAGAGATTTGAACGCAATTATTTGGAGCAATTTTCATGAAATAAGGAATACATTTTCATGAAATAATGAATTGCACGTTTTACAAAGCTACCGGCACACGACGGTGCATTCTGCGATATTCCGTGCTCTGGTTTAATAATGGAGAAAACTTCATAATAATAATTTATCATAGGAATTATTATAATTAAATTAATAATTGTTACGTATATTCGTTTGGCGAAGGATTTGAATACACGATTTTTCGTTCAGTTGTCTTTATAAAATCGGTTTCTGTAAACAAACAATATACAAAGATAAAAATGGTTACATAAAATTAGTATTGCACATAAAGGTATAATCGAGAAGTAAAATAATTTATTTCGAACATATAACACGATAAAAGTCAAATATACACGTTACACGAATCTTCAAAAATAGAACACACACGTACCAAACATTTCCTTCAGTACAGTTCATAGCCAACACCGCAACTGACGCTATAGATGCTTTTAAAATCGAACTAAAGTAAAATGTCACTGACACACATGCATCCGGCGAACGAAATGTACAAGTGAAGCGCATTTGAGAACCAGGTATTCAACAATAATCAAAAAAATCCCTCTTTATTCGAAGGAGTGTTTGAAATGAAAACTAAAGTTTGTAACGGTTTTTGTAAATATAATCGAGAGGTAAACAAAATAAATATATAATTACGTACTAAATCAATATATCAACAATCTAGGACGAGTTTTGGTTACTGACTGAATTTTGTCCGCTTCAGAAGTCAAATTATTTACAACAGCAATCATGCAACATGAACTAGATTAATATGAAGGTAAATCGATTCAGTTAAAAAGTAATACCAGTCAGCGTAATTTTTTCTAGTACATAAGTAAGTGGTGAGGTTATATAAAATTTACCAAAGTGCTACATAATTGCAAGGGTTCGATTTATGACAAAAAACATGCTTCAAACTTATTGACTTTCACGCCCACATAATGTTTGCTTATCCTCAACGTTATTACTCGAGCTTATCTTGATTGCAAGTGTAAAATAATTTGATTGTGACATGTTTGATGAGCCAAACATACAGTAACAAATCAAAATTAAATGAATAAAATGTACATAAAACTGAAAGAATTAAAAAACAGAAAAAATTAAGTAATGATAATATTTGTTATAAACTGATATGGCTATATATTGAAGGGAAAGACGCAGTTTTCGCTCTATGAACTCGGTTAAAAATGTCAGTAAACGCATGCTAACAGAATATGAAAAAAATTATCCATAAACAGAGTTTCCTCATATCTTCGCGTCGTGCGCCTGTGCATTACAGTATTCAACGAGATTTTATTTACGACAGAAAGGTAGCGTATATAAACCATGCTACACACGTCTCCGATGTCTCCACCAATTTCTTACAGCAGTTGTGCAATAAACTTGACGATTCCCCTTGGCGACGTAAGAAAATATCTTGCGGAATTTGAATGTCATTCTTGTTGCAGGAGCATATGAGGAAATTGACGGGAGGGCTCGAGGAATTCGGTCGAATGGAGACCAGACGAGTGCTTCCAGACACTTGAACGGCGCTGCAGAGCGCAACATTAGCACCACAGAGCCCAACGCAAGCACCACTCACTCGGGTGATCGTAAAACGAGCTCTAACAACACCTTCATCATCACTTCGACCGCCACAACTGCACAGGCTGGAGAGATCGTCTTTCTCCCATGCACCATACCGCCTGATATGGCAAAACATGCACAGGTGAGCCTAAGTCAACATGCCCATCACTTCTTGGATAATTAGTATTAAAGTTAATTAGCACCAGGGAGCATCAAGTTTATGCTTGTATCATCGGTTGATTAGTAATGTGCGATCGATCTCAATAACTTTTCCTTGGATAATTACCATTAAAGTTAATTAGCTCTTAGGGCAACAAGTTTGTGTTAGGATTACTTATTGATCAGTAATGTGCGACTTAAATGACAGTTCCAAAGCAATATTCCAAAGTTTTTGCGATATCTGTAACAGGTATCGTGGGTTCGAAGGCAAGACTGGCACATCCTAACCTCTGGTCTCCAAACTTATACCAAAGAGCAGCGCTTCGCCGTGCACCACACAAATGCAACCAACGAATGGACTTTAGCCATAAAATACGTGGAGGTTCCTGACCAGGGCATGTACGAGTGTCAGGTGAGACTCCCAAGGGTAAATTGCCAATTAAAATTCAAATAGAAGAATCCAAGTCGGAATTGTGTCTGCACTAGTTAGTGTTTAAAAGACTTCTTCTATGAAGTCTAACGAAAATCATGAGGACTTTCTAATTTTTTCCAAAATTTTCGACGGGTGAGAATCTCATGTTCCTAACAACGCTTTCTGACTTTTAGGGAAAATGAAACCTTTTTAACCATACTGAATGATGTTCAAAACTAATTTCTCGTTTTCTCTGCCAATTCGAACACTGTCCCTTCAAACCAGGTACGCATACTCTTTACCATGCGATGTTCGCGTTGAAACGGAAGCCATGACTACTTTTTAGAGGGGAATACGCGGAGAATGCAGATGCATTATCTGGCACTCTGCTCAATTCACAAGACCGTCGAGCTCATCCTCCGAAATGATGCAAACCCATTTGCTAAGCTCGTGCTTCTCATGGCTTAGACTCGAGTGTGTTTTAGGAAGGAAAAGTACTAAATGGAGAGATTTGATGCACACAATCCCAAATACGACAATTTCAAACGAAAATGTCGAAGAAATATAAATATTTCATCATACAATTTTGATTTCTTGATAATTAAATTATTTCTTCGCGTTGCATAAGAAAATTTCGAGGTCGAATAATAATATTTGCAAGTCTTTACAATCATTAATTCACTTAAAGTCAGCACAAATTTCCCGCTGTTCTCATACATGTCTGTTTCACAATTTTCACATCTTTTTGGCACCAAACGATTGCCACATCTTTTTGGCTCCAAACGAGTGCCATTTTTACTTGTAGATCGTAGGAGCATCAAAAACTTTTAAATTAAGGTAACATTTCTAACATGTAGATCGTAGGAGCATCAAAAACTGTTCAACTTAGGCGGCATTTCTAAATTGTAGATCGTAGGAGCATCAAAATTTGTTCAATTTAGGTGACATTCCTAACTTTTAGTTCGTAGGATCATCAAAAACTGTTCAATTTAGGCGGCATTTCTAAATTGTAGATCGTAGGAGCAACAAAAACTGTTCAATTTGGCCGACATTTCTAACTTGTAGATCGTAAGAGCATCAAAATTTGTTCTATTTAGGCGACATTCCTAACTTGTAGTTCGTAGGATCATCAAAAACTGTTCAATTTAGGAGGCATTTTTAAATTGTAGATCGTAGGAGCATCAAAATTTGTTCAATTAAGGCGGCATTTCTAAGTTTTAGATCGTAGGAGCAACAAAAACTGTTCAATTTGGCCGACATTTCTAACTTGTAGATCGTAGGAGCAACAAAAACTGTTCAATATAGGCGGCATTTCTAACTTGTAGATCGTAGGAGCATCAAAAACTGTTCAATTAAGGCGAAATTCCTAACTTGTAGATTGTAGGAGCATCAAAAATTGTTCAATTTAGGCAGCATTTCCAACTTGTGGATAGTAGGAGCATCAAATACTGTTCAATTTAGGCGGCATTTCCAACTTGTAGATTGTAGGAGCATCAAAAACTGTTCAATTTAGGCAGCATTTCCAACTTGTAGATTGTATGAGCATCAAAAACTGTTCAATTTAGGCGGCATTTCTAACTTGTAGATCGTAGGAGCATCAAAAACTGTTTAATTTGGGCTGCATTTCTAACTTGTATCTAACTTGTAGATCGTAGGAGGCGGCACGGCGATGTCTCAGCTCGTTCACCTGACGGTTCTGTCGCCCCGAGCGATGATCCCTGGCAACGGCGAGCACCACGTGGACGCGGGATCAACCATCACCATCGAGTGCTTCATCCAACAGGTGATAGCTTCTGTTTTTTTTCTGTCAACGATCACCATCGAGTGCTTCATCCAACAGGTGACAGCTTCTGTTTTTTTTCTGTCAACGATCACCATCGAGTATCATCCAACAGGTGACAGCTTCTGTTTTTTTTTCTGTCAACGATCACCATCGAGTGCTTCATCCAACAGGTGACAGCTTCTGTTTTTATTAATTGCATTAAACGCTATTGTCTCCTAAAAAGTTCAAGGTCGTACGTGAAACTGTAGCCTGTATTGAGTAACATTAACACTCGACGACTGTGTAACATCGTCGTTTACAATTAACGAAAAATTTACTGCTTTAATTTATTAACTTAAAGGCTCACTCAATCAATCGACTTAGCTTTAGAGCATCTTTGTAAAGTATAATCAACATGATTTTAATTGCTCTCAAATAATCCTATGTTTAACTGTGTAATGCCGATCATATACAAATATGTATATAACAGTTTAGCTACCTTATGAATTTAAAAAAACTCATGAAAGGTTGAGAATTTAAAATTAATTTGCATGTCGAATTGTTTGGCCTCCAGAGTGCGGCGCCTCCTCAGTACATTTTCTGGTACCACAACTCGCGCATGATCAACTACGACAAAGAGCGCGGCGGCATCAGCGTCACCATCGAGGCTGAGCCCGACGTTCGCTCGCGTCTCACCGTCACAGACGCACGGCAGTCAGACTCTGGCAACTACACTTGTGATGCTGCCAACACTGAGCCTGCCAGTATAACTGTCTATATCACTCAAGGCATGTCACAAGTTTGGTATGACACTTTATTTCAATTCAAGGCATTAGTGAGTCTACTGAATAATTAACAAATATTTCTCTGGCAACAGCATATCCAAGCCTTTGCTACGTAATGTGTCAATCCCTTCTCATCCGAATAAAATGGGTTGCATAAGAATTATTAGGCTTCTTTATAGATCCTCTTACTTGCCATTAAATACAGCTGAGTTATCGATAGCAGAAGAGTGATTATATTAGCTGAGAGAGAAATTTTTGCTGCCATTGCTTGGTTTCATTCTCCAAATTTCATTTGTCTCGCCTGCAGTGAACAAAATCGCGGCAATTCAGTCCCGCGCCGTGGGTTCGAGCAGCCGTATAGCCGTGATCGCGTACAGCCTCCTGTGGCTGCCGCTGGCGGTGGCAAGCATGCGCTTCACCCCTGCACTGGTCACCCCTGGCGACACCAACACCAGATGGCTGAGCCTCCTCGCCCTCACTGAGGCCGTGAAGACCATCAGTAACTCTGCCCTCGACGCTTCAAGGAGGCCTCGCGCAGTGAGGGAAGAACTCAGATCGCGTGTGCATTTCCTGAACGCTGAGTCGCGAAATGTTCGTGATGCAAACCAAACTGCCGGAATATACGGGAATGCTGTTCCGTCTCAGCAATATTATATTTGACCAAATTCTGAGATCTAAAGTTGAGCTTAAAAACCATAGAATAAGGGTTTTACGGGGTTTTAAAAACAAACCCATGGTTTTAAAACCACAGAGTAAGGTTTTTTAACTAAATTATTCGGATAAATTAAAAATGTATGTTGTCATAGCATTACTTTGGAAAATTTTCATAATTGAGGAGATAATATTAATTTCAAAGGCATACAAATTGTATTCAATGTCAATTTAATGTAAATATGGAGGAATAAATATGCTAGCTTGTGTGTATGGAACTATATATATCTATATATACGGTACAGTTTTTATGAAGTTTAGCCGAGGATTTGTCCATTCTAATGAATGACAGAAATTTTTAATTGCTTTCTTATTTGTTGCAAGTTTCAACTGACGTATTAGAATAATTTTTCTCAATATATTTCCGAAATTTGATGATACTTATGATAGCAAACAGCCCTAAATGAGTAGGCCTAAATATCTTCCACACTAGACTCAGTGAGCTAAAATAATTTTGTATATCATCTTCACCTTTCATATTTACATATTGTTTACAGCAAAAGTTTCTAAAATGAAATGTTCGGTGACTTACCTTAAGTTTGCTACGTTCGTGACTTGTCTGTTGAATGGCAAGCACCTCGCAGCCTTGCGTGACGTCATGAACAGCTGCCGTGCGTGCAGCGCATGCAAGCCAGGAAGCTAAATTGGCTGCGGCAATTACAACAAATTGGATGCCGGATTGTTACTTTTTCGCGACCTATTCCTCCGGCACTGGGGCGTCTCAATACAAAAATTCCGATAGTAATGTTTATTTCTGCGCAAATTACTAATTCGTTGGTAGAAACTTTCTTTGGCTACTGCAGACAGGGGATCCGTCACGCAAATTTCAAATATAATTTTGTTTTAATCTGTTTCCCACAGGCTTAATTCTTTGCTAAATTAACTTCTAAGCTAGCAACCAATCGGCCAATCGATATCGTTCCCTCCGACTTATACTGCAAATACAAAAGATTCCAGTCAAACTGACTATTATTATTATTATTATTATTATTATTATTATTATTATTATTATTATTATTATTATTATTATTATATTATTATTATTATTATTATTTTCATTTCGAATCCTCAATCTATGGCCTAGTATTTCATTACTTACTAGTAATTTACTATATACGCGTTTAATTAAATCACATAATTCAATTAATTTTCGAACTCAAATATGCCACTCGTAAATTCCAGAATAAAAAACTGTTTCACGACTGTCCCAATCTTTTCAATTTGATATGAAATAAAGCAGTCAGAGAAGTTACGTTACTTGAATTTGAAATTTTGTATATTCGCAGAAACAGATTTAATTTGATTGTTGTTCATTAGAATTTATAGACATTTATTTGTTTTTCCTGTGATAAATTTTAAATTTATTAAAGCGCGAGTGTGTTTGTGAGCATGTGAATAATGATAAAAAAGTTATATGTAAGAGATTTTTTCATGAATCGTAAGATAATAATGCTGAATATTATTGTATATACTATAGGTTAGAATCACATAAAAGTCTCAGCGACAATTAATTATTGTATTTACGACAGATATTCCAGTAGACTCTGCCCTGACTAGTTGTTATGTTAGCCATTTGGCCATTCATCCTTCATTCCTCCTATTCATTCCTACACACAAACGATGAAATCAGAATTTCAATTCCCGGGCACATATTGATTGACTTTGATGATGTGACAGATACTCGATGGCCTTAAATCTTTAATTCATGTTCCTTTCTCTATTTTTGAAATTATAAAACGCGCAAAGCATAGTTTTTAAATAATTTTATGCTATTTGATTTGGCTGAACTCTTTGAATTTAGATAGACTTGCTGTAATGTACTAGGCACATCGTATTGAAAGATTTTATTTGCAGTCTTAAAATAAAAAGAAATGAATATGAAAGAAAGAAAGTGAAAAAAATAACCTAAACACCAACGAAAATTTGTTATATTTTAATTGTTTAGTAGAGAACTTGTTCCACATCGAGGTGAATAATTTTATGTATCATATAAGACGGTCATATAAGACGAATAAAATAACTGTTTCAAATTTATTATTGAAGGAACCCATTTGCTGTATTATTTGGCGATTTATTCAATTTCGCACGAAGCCGAAATATTAATAGAGGAAGGGGTATAACGTATGTAAATAGATGCTGAATAATTTCGTGGCAAATAAAAAGTAAAAAATTAAAGGAATTTATGTCTTGGAAATCTTTTGTTTAGCAATATTCTCGGAGATTGGCACTGGTTTTTAGCTTCTGTGTACCTTTTTTTCATGCCATGCCTACATTTTTAGCGGGGATTTAATTAAGAAATAATTCATTTAGAAAAAGTTATCATCATCCCATTAACAACTTTGTAGACCGATATACTAGCAGAAACTGTTCGAATAAAACAAAGATACTTTTGTACACCGCACGGCGTTAAGAGTCTTAGCAAGCCACGAGAGCTGCCCAGTATCACCTCTCCACACATCCTAAGCCCTAGTCAAGAGTTCATCACTCCCTCCGGACTAATATAGGAAGGACCATTTTCACATGACCGAGGAATAGCCAGTGGCTGTAATTGTTGTTTCAACCCCAGCTATTGTGTATTGTGTGTTTATACTATTGTGTATACAGTGTGTGACAAATATTGCTCCAAAATCACATCTTGGTTGATTCATGACCACAGCACAGAGATTTAAACATCGTTTAGAAACATTTTATTTAAACCTTTTTATTAATTAATCTGATGTATTGACAATCTGAAGGTTGATTGTGAATTGTATACATATAAATCGACAGGATATTTTACATAGTGCTGACATCGAATACATTTTAAAATGTCTACACTCATATTAACACGGCATCAGCAGCTACGGGCAAAATATTTCTCAGCTATAATTTTTAATGGCAACCCATGCATTCACATACGTACACGGATCGCGAAGTAATAGATGGATATTAATAAAACTGTCTGACGATTATCATATTTGCGTGCGGAACTATGGTGGTCCTACTTTTTACAAAACCCTATTTATTGTGATTCTACCTACTGAACCCTTACAGGGTGGCCCAGTGGGTAAAGTTCTGAGTACCAAGATCGGCGCTGAGAGGCGCAGGTTCGATCCCAGCTCTGTGCGCCATTTTCTGGTCAAAATCGGCAAGAAGGCCGGGCGGTTAAGCATAGCAGAATTGTAGCAGTGAGTAGCGAGTTCGAGACCGCAAAATGCTGTGAATGTTCTACGATGTTCAGATTCAGCGACAGGCATACGGCCTAATAAACGCTGAAACGGCAATTATTACTGAGATCCTACTTACAGAAGGAATGGCAAAGAAACCAGGCCATGTAATCACAGGGCTTAAGGCGATGAGGAATAAATGTAACACTTGGTAAAAATTTATTGATAAGTTCAAAAGTTTGATCCACGAGGTCAATTTTCAAATTTAAAACATTCATAACAGATGATTCCTAGGAAAAAAAATATCATCTGAACCCCCGATATTCAGACAACAGATAGGTATGAAGAAGAACACTCATCTCTCAAGTGAACATTGAACAACGGGAGTTGTGTGGAAGGTTCTAGTCCCTTATGTCTCTTATTTGATTTACTCAGTCACGATCGAGCGCAGCTTTGATCAACAATACAACTCAGTTTGCCAGTACAATTTCGGCAAACAATCAGATAAATTCCTGTTCCTGGAACAAAATTTACGTTCGTACTACGAGAATTTTTTGAACACTGAATGAGTGTCTGTAATTCCTGCTGAAATATGTTTTATCATACCTCTGTACATTATCGATTGCATTTAACTGTTTATATGAGGTTGCATATTATAGTGCCTCAGAATTTCATACCATTCTGTCCTCTTTCTTCTCCTCATAGATAAGAGGCGACGATAAAAATGAGTCAAAGAGAAAACCGTTCAATAAATGATCGATTGACAAGTTTGTTTTCAATTATATTACATTTTCATAGATGACCGTAACGTGTGATTAGAGACTATCTTAATATATTAAACAAAAAATATCTCGCAGTCAGTCTGATCTGATAAAGAAAATTAATGTAAAAAAAGATATGTATAAGTTAAAAAAAATGTGGATTCATGGTTCAGTTGAAGCTTAATTAGATCATCTAAAATGTACATATGTGATCATGTAAATATATATAGGCATATATGGTTGTTATTCGTTCTTAGTTTAGTGCCATGACATACCTGATTATAGTACTTAATTCGCTATTTAAATGTCGCTATATACTTACGTGTGCTGCTCTTAAATAATATGTGCTACACTTCGTTCTCTATGTTTTCACAAAATAAAATCAATAATTTCAACTGAATCTCAACATGGTGTTTGATTCTCAGTTAACAGATTTCTTCAATCACGTTTAAATCACCTGCATAAGGGGGATGAACATTATGTTCAAATCTGACACGTAATTAGAAATTAAATACAATTCATAGCTGCGTTATTTATACCATTATTCAATGCACACTTATAAACATGATTGAGTTTTATTATACTCCACATTTTACACAAATGTTGATTACTTGATTATAAGTCGATGTCTAAATCAAATATTTGTCCATGTCGATGGTTTCAAATACCCTTTGAAATTTGCTTCTTGTAATATATTCAATATCCGGAGTGAGTGATCGAAAGTATAACATATTCATGAGGTGAACGGCCATGCACTCACTTCTCACGGAGTGGCCTTCCGATATCTTCACTGACGGATAAATAGAAATATTATATATCGTGTAAGTTTCAAAATTTAGGCAGCATCATCAAAATGGGGAAAGTAGTTTTCATGATTTCTGTTGTGAAATAGGCGTAGGGTTGATGAATTTCACGGCTTCAATTTAACAGTTTCATGAAATTTCTAGTTATAAATTAACCTCTAAAAGCTTTGCAAATTAATTTGTACCAAATGTTTCTCAATGACTTGAATTTATACGACACTTTTCGATCAATTTCCCGTTAAAATCTGCCTTTCAAGGACCACTTAGTTTGAATTAAAGATATGAATA